TTAAGACAAGAAACAAAGCAAACCATTCAATGATGATAGTGTCCCACACATCAAGTTCTCATTGTATCTCTCTATTGACAGTTAATATCACAGGCCAACCCCACTGATTAGAGCTTCCAAAAATAAGAAACTTTGGAAACAAAGACTTGCTTATTCTGTTTCTACTCCTATCATTCTTAAAAGATACAGTGACCCAAAGTTTATTGCTGAAAGATACAAAAAAAAAAAAAAAATAGTGGTGACCAAAACCTTTATAATAAACTGGTAGACTTTTGTTGTTGTTGTTGTTGTTTGGAAAAATGAATAACAATGCATCTCTTTTCAGAAGTTCTTTAAAAGGTTTCTTTTTATTCCCAATACAGAACATGATCAGCATAATCAAAATATTCACATAAACACTAACCAACCAATGTCAGCTTCCCTGTATTCTGTAAGGAACTGAGCTTTTAAAATGAATCAAACTGCAACCGAGGTACGTGCCCTTAGCGGGAACCGAACCCGGGTCTCTCAGGACCGCAGGCCGACGCTCTAACCGCTGAACCAAACTGGCCAGGGCCACAAAACCACTTTGTAAATATTAAAATTTAAAATGTAGATAAGAATGACTGTTCCAATATTTAAGTAGACTCTTTTACAGAGAATAGATCACCAGGAATTCCACCAGCTCTTTTCTCAGAATTTCTATAATTTTGAGAAAGAAACACATGGGAAATCTGTTTTACAAATATAATCTAAGAAATCCATAATTTAAGAAATCAGTTCATCTTGAGCTTGCCCCCAACTTTCCTTACCCCCTTCTTACCCAATCCCCAGCATTCTCTCTCTCCCTCTCCCTCTCCCTCTCCCTCTCCCTCTCCCTCTCCCTCTCTCTCTCTCTGCCACCTCTCCTTCCCTTTTCTCCCCTCAAGGTGCATACCTTTGCTTTCTTTCTCCTAAGCTCCAAGGACCCTTCCTTTGCCTCTGTAACTTCTTTCCTGAGCCCACACAGCCCAGGTGGCTCACTTCTTCCACAGCTCACTTCTACTTCTGTGACTTTCCAAATAAACTTTTGCTTGTATTTGAGTCTTAGCTCTGAACTCTTTCTTAGCCAAAACTCAAGGACCAAGGTCTAACATCTGAGGCCTTGTTCATCATTAACAATACCACTTCCGCCCTGGCCTACCAGCAGCTTCCAAGTCCTCCCCCCCACAGCTTCTGCCATCAGAAAATACTCATCAACTCCCTTAGTTCTAGTTCAAACACTCCAAGAACAAGCTGATCAACCTGCCTTGATCTGCATGAGTATATCCAAGAAGGTGGGGTACAGCTAATAGTAGACGCTATCTAAGGGTGTGGTTAGGCCCTGGCTGGTGTGGCCCAGTTGGTTGGAGCATCATCCTGTACACCCAAAAGTCACAGGTTTGATTCCCAGTCAGGGCATATACCCAGGTTGTGGGTTCGATCCCCGCTCATCCCCAGTCATCCCTGATTGAGGAGCCTATGGGTCAGTCCCTGGTCAGGGCACATATGGGAGGTTAACCAACTGATATTTCTCTCTTACATCAGTCTTTCTCTCACTCCCTTCCCCTTTCTTTCTCTCAAAAATCAATAAAAACATATCCTTGGATGAGGATTAAAAATAAATAAATAGTGTGGTTAGACTCCAGGCAGAAGTAAGTTTCAAAGGGCAGTGGGGAGGGAGTGCAGGAATTCTAAACCATAACTAGACGGACAAACCAAGAATAACCACTAAAACGAAAACAAGCACAGATTCTGAAATTTTAGGTAATGCTAGAAAGTTAAGGTGGCACAAGCCAGAATGCTGGGAATTGGCAGTAAGACATTCTTTTTTTTTAATCCTTATCTGAGGATATTTTTCCATTTTTGTTCAGATAGAGTAGGAGGGAGGAAAAGAGAGATAAAAACATTGACATTAGAGAGACACATCGATTGATTGCCTCCCGCATGACCACTAGCAGGGCTGGGGACAAACCGCAACCGAGGTGCATGCCCTTGACCAGAATCGAACCCTCTACTCTGGTCCAGGGGCTGATGCTCTAATGGCTGAGCCAAACCAGCCAGGGCAAGGCATTAAGGCATTCTTGAATACATTTCAATTTTTACTTCGATATTAAACAATAAATAACTTTAAACCTTGATAACACACCATTTTTTCTGTCACATCCTCATGGCATCTAAGTTTGTGGCCCAAGAATGGGCCCGAAAATCTTATGCAAAGCATCCATAATGTGACTTTCAGAATTGTTTTGAAGTTATCTGTTATTTGGGGTTCGGCTTTCCAGGTGTGCATGTCCTTATTCTAGATTCACAGCTTTATCTGCTGAGCTTTGAGATTCTGATGCAATTTCCAGTTCATACTTCTTTTTCAACTGCTATGTTTTTGTGTTTAAGTTCAGTAAAGTTTTGGCCAGCCGATGATTTTGGAAGCACATGTCCAGCTAAAAGTTAGAAAAAGAATGAGGAATTTTTATTAGCTGAGATATAGATCAAATGAAACTGCTCTCCACACTGGAAAAATAAGGACTTTGTAGGAAAGGAAACCAAGATATCAAGAAAGACATATTTCTCATCCTCCACTTCTGACTGTTTGGCCTGGCTATAAAACTGACTTTCTATACGACAAGGTAAATCCAGATATACAAATCGCTTTTGAAATGGCCTTGAAATGAAAACAAAAATAGCTGATGCACAAAGCTGTCCATATGAAAAATTTCCACTCGTGGAAGGCTGTTTTCAAGCAATGGAATGTGATCTGCGATGAAATCATTTATCTTTCTGAGCTTTCTCAGCTACAGGATAACTGCCCAGGGCCACCGGAGCATTCAGGACCTGGGCCCATCTACTTAATTACTTGTCATTTCAAATTTTTAGGATTTTAAATGGTCTCCCTGTCGAGCAAACACATCTAACAACACCTCAGAGCCACATGTACAGTTATGTGTACTTATATAATCTAACGATTTTCACTCTAGAGTGAAATCTGCTATAAAGCAAGACTGATTTATATCCTCCTCCAATGGGAGGTTGTGAAGGTCCTCATGTATTAAAAAATAGATCTCGAGCAGTTTAACAAAGAGACAGGCCAACAAAGCTTAGCCCAACATAATCTTTGTATTATAGTTGAAAACTAACAATCAAGTATTTGCAAATCTCTTCAATTAGTGGCTTGTTTAATACAGTTCATGAGGACCCTGTTCTGTCTGCTTAAAATCTTTCAGCATCTCACCAACAGAAACCACCCCAGGATGAACCACCCACGACATTCTGTTGATATAAAGCAAATATTGGTGCCCCCCAATTTGCAAAATAAAGTCTTTGTATACAATTTTCTTTTACAGTTTTCCTCTTTATTCTTCATCTGTGGGAACTACAGTGAGAATTAGCAAAGAATAACGCAAATGAGCACCCAGCCAACAAACATGAGCAAAAAGCACCTTAAGTACAGGAAGGCAGAGTCCTCCAGTGCGGCACAGACGCTCTGTAACCCTGCCCTTCTTTTCCAAATTTATTTCCTGGGGCTCTTCCTTGCAGTTGCTCAGAAATCTTGCCTGTTCCCAAATAAAAACACGGAACTGAACACAGCCCTGCCCCTCAGCTGAGGGTAGCTGTTCTCACCCCTCTTCCTGCTGAACCCAGGAAATGCCAACCCTTCAAAGTCCCTTCCCGGTTGCCTCTTATCTGTGCTTCCCCAGCGTTCTGCCCATTGCCTCCCACAGCACCCAGACCAGACCAGCCTGATGACTGACGGCAGTTTGCCTCGTATTCGAAAGTCCCCAGCTGTGACCCAGGGCCTGGGCACACACCATGGTGGGTTCCTGTGTGTAGGATCTTTCCAAGTCACTCCTCCCTACACAGGTGAGCAACGCCCTTTTAAAGTCTGAGTTGCTCTTACACGTTTTGTCCTTTTCAATTGTGTCTAATTTGGAAACTGTTTAAATTAAAAAACAGTCATCTAAAATATGCATCATGTTTCTTCTTGTTTAACATTCGAACCTAACCGGCCTCATCCTTAAAAGCTACAGCTTTATATATTATTTCCTGTTTTCTGAATTCTTATCAAGGGGAAAGATAGAGGAAAACTTCCAGAATGACGGAAAGAGTTGCTGGTGGGACCACTCCATAAGTCCCACGAGAGGGTTGATTTCATTGCAGTTTTCTCTTCCACGCCCCATACATACACACACACTAAAAATCCCCTACAGGGAACTTTCTATAGGATAGAAAAAATAGATCAAGTACACCTGTACTGGGTCTCGGGCTTATCACTAGCAGACTCAGCCCTCCACAGATGCCCACACCCGGCTTCTGAAGCCCTTCCCTCCCAGATGGGAGAGGCCGGGCGTCCTCAGCACCAGGTGGGGGCGCGAGGCCTCTGTCGGGGAAGATGGACGGCCGGTGCCCAGCTCCCGGTTGCTGCGTGCCCTCACTCCCTTCCTCCCTGAACAGTCCTGGCCTCGCCAGTCCTCGCGTGGGCCACGCGGCCCGCGGCCCCGAACGCAGCCAGGACGAAGCGGAGGGCGCGCTCACCAGCCGGGCAGCCGGGCAGCCGAGCGCGCGGCGGGGCCAGTGCCCCCTCCACGCCCGCGCCGCCGCCTCCCGCGAGCGCCTCGAGTCCCCACGGGGCACCGCCCGCGGGCAGGCGCGCTCCCGCCGTGGCCCCAGGTCTTCCAGCCGGCGGCCGGGACCTCCCCGGGGCGTCCGCGCTCTGGCGGGACGCGGGGCTGGGCCCGAAGCCCCACGCTGACTGCCACGCGGTGGAGCCCCGGGACGTTCCGTCTCTGCGGAGGCCCGAGTCCCCATCGCGGAGTCGCCCGTCCCAGCCGTCCTGCTTGCGGCTTGTATCTTAGTTGAAGGCAGCGCGGGTGAGGGCGAGGGTGACTAGCGGAACACGCGGGACCGGGACCGAAGGGACGCCGCTGTCGCTCCGCCACCCAGAGGCGCTCCGTTTCTCCCAGCCGCATCTCTGCCCTTTTCCTCCTTAGCAACAAACCAAGAGGATGGTTGCAGCGTCTCCTCGAAGAGCCTTCAAGTGGATCCCTTTTCCGTGCTCCTTGGAGTGTCTTTCTAAGGGGAATACATGGGTCCATCCAGGTAGGTGGAAGTTTCAGTAGAAATGGAAGGTTTGAAGCCAAAGGTAGAATATTTCGTCACGAACGCCTTGATTATTTAATACTCAATTCTCTTAGAATAATTTGTTCTGACTTTCACCGGCCAGGCACCGTGCGTGACAGATGTTGGGGATATAAAGCCTAATTGGGCCCCTTCCCTCTCCCAGGGTTTGCTCAGTCAAGCGGGAGAAACTTGGCCCTGTTTGGAGTCAGAACGAATGGTTTCCCCTTAAGCCCCGCAATGAAGGAGGCACCTGAGATTCTGAATGCCATGCTCCTTTCTGCCAACTCCCACATTCACGAAGGGGTGAAAATGGGAGTTCCTCCTACCCTAAACTGTGTTATTTTATAAATACCAATTCAGGGTAATTTTGTGCCAATGTTACTTGTATATTCTCTTTCAATGAACATAATCAACTGCCTCTTTTTGATCTAATGGAGAATTTCTAAAAAGGAATGAACAAAACTGTGTGTGATCATAGAATGCAATTATCCTACCTTTCCCCCCCAAAAAGTGGCAGAGATGTGCATACAGTACTCTCATCTTAGAGTTGCTCATTCATTTGGTAAAGATTTACAAATACCTGCAACATTCCAGGTCTGTGATAGGCACTGAGGGCAATAGAGCCCGTTTTTAGTCATGGTTACTGTGTACAGGCACTTTTCCAGAATGACCCCATTTTAGCTCTACAACAGCCACAGGAGGTAGGTACTATTAGTTTATGCGTTTTACAAATGAGGAAACTAAGGCAGAAGTTAAGCTATATGCCAAAAATCACAAAATGTAAGTGGTCATCGGAGGATTTGCACTTGGAAGTCCGCCTTGCATTCTGAACCGCTGGGACACACCCTGGATACACACTACCTCCCAAAGAGGAAAAAAAGTCGCTCAGTTTACATGTTGCATGAATGAGTGGTCAAATTCCAAATGCTCCTAGAACTCAGCTCTACTGAAATGGCTGATGAGATAAGGAGGAATACAGGTGACCAGGCCTCTGCAGATCATCCACCAAAGATAACAACCTACAATAGTTTACAACCTAACTAAGAACAGTCAAAAGTTATCATATTGTGGTTCATAAAGATTCCGTGGAAATATTTGAAGATGTGATCTTTGACAAAGGAGCAGAAGCAACAACACAAGGGAGAAAACATAGTCTTTCTCAACAAATATAACAACCGGACATTCATATGAAAAAAAAAAAAAAAAAATGAATCTACACACATTCACACCATTCACACACAAAAAATAACTCAAAATGGCCCTGGCCGGTTTGGCTCAGCAGTTGGAGCGTCAGCCCGTCCACCAGAGAGACCCAGGTTCGGTTCCCGCTAAGGGCACGCACCTCAGTTGCAGTTTGGCCCTGGCCCTGGGTGGCAACCACTCGATGAGTCTCGCTCACATCCATGTTTCTCTGTCTCTCTTCCTCTCTCTCTCCCTTCTGCTCTGAAGATAAATGCAAAAATGTCCTCAGGTGAGGATAAAAAAAAAATAACTCAAAATGGGTAGTAGACCTTAATGATCATAGACCTAAATCAAAATGATAAAGCTCCTAGAAGATGATATAAGAAGGTCACTGTCTCTAAGTTCTTTTGAATACCCGGAGGAGGCTGAATACACAGGTCATGCTCATAGTTCATGCAGAACAGCAGCAAAACTAAAGTCTGAAATTCCTCATTAAAAGCCTGATCTCTTCTCTAAATCCCCGTGTGTAAGTTCATCAGTTAATATCTACCTTTGTTGCATCTTGTGTCTACCCTTTTCCCTGCCCCTGGAAAACCTGGACCCCAATTCTTCTATGGGTTCTTTAGGTGAACCCCACTTCTCTGCTTCCTCTTCTGCCACCCACTCTGAACAATTATTCTTTTAAGCAATAGGCTCTGTGTGTTCCCACTACAAACAGGATGTCCCTGATGGTCCTGTGCAAAAAGGAACAAATAGGCTCCTTTTCTCCTTTAGGCTCCAGAGAAAGGAGATTTTCTTTACAAGCCTTAACATAAATATTTGTCATTTTTCAATGAACAGATTAGTGATTTGAGCCTTTGGAGAGTCTGTGGGGAATGTGGTCATTTCATTTTCAGCTATAGAGAGTTGGCAAGATTTCCTTTCCGGTTGTGGAATGTCCAAAATGTAGTCATTGTCTTCCTAGCTTCGTTTGTCAGATCTCTGGGGTCAACATGCTGGTTTTAAGTCCCAGCTTCAACCCTGGCTGCCCATGTGACTATGCATAAGATCTCTGCGCCAATTTGTTTACAAGTAAAATGAGAATAATCTTTTCCTCCTCGCCCGGTTGTTGAGTAGATTAACTAAAGGACTCAGAAGTGCCCTGAACCAAGTAGGTCCCTCAAAATGTGATTCCTGCTTCTCATGTAGGGGTTCTGCACAGGGACCTGTTTCTGAACACTGCATGAGTGAACATCACAGTGTTACGTATCTAAAAGATGCAAGGGAACTGGTATTAGGACTGCAAGGGAAACTGTGTCAGGGTAGAAGTACAACAGTGAAACCGGGCTGGACAATGCCCATTGCAGTGGGTTGGATGACCATTTTAAACTGTCAGTGATCATATGGAACCAATATGATCATCTCAATCACATCCTCTAAGTATGTGTGGTCAGTTGTATTATTTTTTACCTCTTGTGGTGGGAAGATTATATTTCTTCACTCCACTGACCTCTTGCTTGGCCCTAGGACTCGCTTAAGCCAATGATCTGTGAGCAGAAGGGACATTTGTGATTTCCCAGTGAGATCTTTGGTGTCATCGCACAATCCCCCGTCCCTCCCCTGTTTCCCAGCACTGTCCCAGGGCAGGTCTCTCCTTCACACTGGGCCCTGGAACAAAGAAATCATGGAAAGTGGCGTTACCTGGCCTGTCATGGGTGTGTAGTTTGAGTGAGAAATAAACATATGTAGTAATCCTCGGAGATTCGTGTTTGCTTTTTTGAAATCCCTGCTATCTAATTCTCCTTTTGATTTATTTCCTTTTCCTAAAAGTAGAGGGCAGAGGTTAGCATCCAGAGGACTGACAGGTGTGGAAAATTGAAGCTTTACTGAATTATCTGTGAAGAGATATACAGAAGCAAATTTGCCTCAAACACGAAAAATTTCATTAGAAGGTACAAAAAATGTCTAGTATCTGTCTAAAATACCTTTGCTCTTTTATGAGATGAATTTAAATGAATTACAAGAGTCATGTGCAAAATATGGATAACAGTAACTTCTTTATTGACAGAATCTATAAAAGCCCATATGTAGGATAGTGTGTCATTTGAGAGTGTCAGTTTATAGTCTGAGAAGAACATCACAGCTTCATTTCCACACCAAATAGGAAACAGAATATGTTTCTTTCAAGATAGTGGGGACTGTTTATCTTGTCTTTGTACCTTGAGACAGAGGACCCTGCTCAGCAACACCAGGTTCCTCAACACAAAAATTCTGAGATAATCAGTGTTTGTTATTTCATGCTTACAGTATCTTTTCTAATAATTTATTTTATTTAACAAAAGACTTCACTGAGGTGTGATCGACATACAGCCGTCGCTCGTTTATCGTGGTTAATCAGTTCCAGACTCTACCGCGATACATGAATTTTCATGAAGTAGGATTCTTTATTTGTATACATACAAAAGTTGTACATATTTAACATATACAGTTTGATGAGTTTGGAGGTAAGTATACACTCATGACACCATCACTATAATCACTATAATTGATCCATAAACATATCCATCACCTCCAAGAGTTTCCTTCTTTCCCCTTTATTTATTAGGATTATCTGTGATGAGAACACTTGACATATGTACCCTCTTAGCAAAAGTTAAGTATGCAATACAAGATTATTAACTGTAGGCTCTGTGCTGCCTACAGTAGATCTCTAGGACTTATTCATCTTATGTAATTGAAACATTGTATACTTCAATACCTCCCCATTTCTCTCCCTCCGGCCCCTGGAAACTACCATTTTATGAGTTTCTCCTTTTTATGTGTTTCACTATTTTAGATTCCTCATATAAGTGGTATCACAGAGTTTGTCCTGTGTCTGCCTTATTTCAATTAGCAAGATATCCTTGAGGTTCACTCATGTTGTTGCAAATGGCAGGATTTTTTTTTCTCATGGCTAAATAATATTCCATTATATATATGTACATATATTTTTTTTCATCAACAGATGAAAGGATAAAGAAAATGTGAGATATATTTTTATCTGTTGATGGATACAAAGGTTGCTACCATGTCTTCCCTCTTGTGAATAATGCTGCAATGAATATGGAAGCACAGATATTTCTTTGAGACCCTGAAATCTTTTTTTTAATTTATTTATTTTTGTTACAGATGTTTCTCCTTTCTTTCCCACTGATTACCCCCTCCTTCTCCCTCCCTGCCCTGTCCCCAGCTTTGTTGTCCATGTCCATTGTTCATGCACACATGCATATAAGTTCTGTGGTTTATCTCTTCTCCACCACCCCCTATTCTGGGGATTGTCAGTCTGTACCCCACTTCCACATCTCTTGGAATACCCCATTCCTCAGACTGTTATGTTCATTATATTCCACAAATAAGTGAGATCATATGATACTTGTCTTTCTCTGTTTGGCTGTTTCACTTAGGATAATACTTTCCAGGTCCCTACGTGTTGTCTCAAAGGATAAGAGATCTTTCTTTCTTACAGCTGCATAGTGTATATGTACCACATCTTTTTTATCCATTCGTCTATTGATGGACATTTGGGTTGTTTCCAGATCTTAGCTAGTAAACAGTGCTGCTACGAACATGGAGTACATAATAGAGACCCTGATTTCAATGCCTTTGGATATAAACCCGGAACTAGGATTGCTGGATCATATGGTAGTTCTGTTTTTAGTTTTTTATGGGACCTCCATATGGTTTTCTATAATGGCTATACCAATTTACATACCCACCAACAGTGTACAGGGTTCCTTTTTTTTTAAATTCTAGTCAAAACTTTTGTTTTTTAATAGCCA